CCCGTTCTGCTAACCATGTTCCATACACCGACAAGGTCAGCCAGCTATTCTTGGGCTACTTCCATGGTTGGAAAAAGAAAACCTCCTAAATTAAATCTGAAAATCAAATACTTTAGAAAAATTCTCTCCTTTTCAGGATAACTAGTAATTTATGAATGTATCGAGGGCAGTTTTCCAAAAGGGAGTGTGTTCCATGCAGCTCTTCTTTCACGTCCAATCCCCTTTTTTCTTCTCCATTTTCTTCAAAGTTACCAGTTGACGGGTAAACATGCTCCGGGAGGATAAGGCATGGACTCTGTACCAAGTGTAACTGTAACTCCTATGGGAGGCTGATTTTATGTAACTTCGTGATCATGGCCCCAAGAAAAATGACCCGTCTCGAGCTGCTTGCTTTTCACGTCACGGTTGGCATGTCAGCAGCGTCTGTGAGATGTTCTCGGGCTTGGAATCCTCTTATGGGTTTGAAATGTCTCTACGACGTCTCTTTTACGATTCGGCCCAGCCCACAAACACGATGTATAATACAATGCGGTTACGATAAAAATGTACACGTTCTGTAAAGACAGTCATTATCATTTATTGCCGTTACGATCTGGACGTCCTTGAACCTAAGCGTCACGTACTGTTGAAACCTGATCGAATTGCCAAGATAATTCTATAACCCATTAAGATTTTTGCAATAGATTAGAAACGACCTGCCAATGGGAATTTCAACGGGGAAAATCTATTAGACAGCAGTCTGGTTGCTGATGGGTGAATGTAATGATCTGGGACTTTTTTGTCGTTTTCATCGCCATTAAATCATTATTCTGGGTTTAACCCTGGGAGATCATACAAGTTCAAGTTGGACATACTAGAAACCTTCCAAAATTGTATCAAATCGGTCGCAAAGGGTTGGGAAAGCCACAAGCTACTTTTTGAGGCCTTTTAGACGGTTTTGTGGTACTCAGGCCTCACAATTGGAGAATTGAAGTCCTCACATGAAAAAATGAAGAAGGAGTCAGGGTCGTGAATGCTCAAAGATTGTTGAGTAGGTGTAAATTACTCTGGAACAAGCTTCTCAGGAAAGGGATGGAAGATAATGGGGGGTCCAGATTTCTGTCTTGGAAGGAATCGTGGCGATAAACAATATGAGCGGATTTTTGACACAATTTTCTTCAGAAAAAGGTTTGTTTGATCCTTCTATCTCCTCTTCATCCCATTTTCCAACCGCTAAATGAATTTTTCACTAAAAAATGGGCATTGATGGGTATTCTTCTGTCAGACGATCCTCACTCCACTGCTGTTCCTTAACCACCTGCTGCCAGGTGGCTCTTTGTTGTTCCTGTCAAGCAGGGTTACTCTTTTTCAAGTGCATCTGGACCAACAAGGCACTTCAAATGCATGAGAATAAGGGAATCCCTTGATGCCACTAGCGAAGGGTCTTGCTTAATCTATTTGATTAGTTGAAGCGGAAACAAGCTATTGGGAACAGTTGTGGCATATTTTCGTGAAAATGGATAACGAAAAAAGTAAAAATGTAGTTCAACTCGTTTTTGCACTATACCATCTGTGATAGACGGTTCATTAACACTTGACTTATTAGCGCTTCGACGTACAAAGTACGAATCGGCTGAAGTGGAAAGCACTTTGGTAGCGCTGATCGATGAGAACAATGTTACCTTGATAGATTACCTCAAGTTGTCTCACCGTTGGAGCTTGCCTTTCCGAAAACTTTCCAAATCTCGAACATGGGATGTATCCGCATGAAAAAAAATAGCTAGATTGGAATTCAGGAAAGAGTAAAGTCCTCAAAACTCAAGGTACCAAAAGGTTACCTACGAACTTCAAGATTCGGTTTTTTTTATGAAAACGACCCACGAGCTATTCGCTCTGGATCAATCTCACTGAGAGCTGATTTCCTCTAGGGACCCCGGAAGAAAAGGAACGCATGCTCAGTTTTTTTGCCCAATTCGGCGTTTGACCTTTAGATGATTCATGTAATCATCGTCACGGCTCCTGGTTTGGGGCAAAAGTAATCTACTGCAACAGTAAAGGGGTCCTGTAAGGATCCTGGAATGTCATATAGAGATTTTTATCAAATTGCATTTCTGCAGTGAAATGGTGTACTGATGATAACCTTAGATTTCTTCAGACCATTATTTATTTATAGCTCTATATTATATGTATAGTCTACTTCTTTTTATATGTATTTTTATGAATATTTACTCATTAGACAACCGGTAAGTTTCCGCCCGAAACAGTCCGCTTTTGATTCTTCTCCATTTCCAGAAAGAACTATTCGAAATTCATTTACGTATTCCGGATCCTGTGGAAGTTACCAGCTCAGTTGTGATTTTTGAGGTAGGGATACGGCTTTTTTGCGGTTTTTTATACATGTATTACCTTATTGGGCTGCTGCCATCGATGTACCCTATCTTCCCATACAGGGCTTCCTTTTATGATGGAGGTCATTAGCAACAGAGAGTAAGCGGAACTTGTGAGGTCCTCTAGAAGATGGAATGAGATGCCAAATGAATTCAGCCCACTATTCAAGCCAAGTCCATCAGGATCGCGACCATTCATTTTGGATGAGCATGGTACAGGGCGAAAAGGCGGATCACACATATACTGCTCTTGAGTCTATTCTCGGGTTCATACCCGCTTAGGTCAATGGGGAGGCTCCCCTTCTCGAAGTCCTTAAACTGCTCCCAGGCTTGTCTGTTTAAGGAAAAATTGAGTTGTACATCGACAAGCCCTCAAAAATATGGGCCACATATATCAGTAACCACTACAATTCAATAGCAATCAAAAGTGAGTGCCCTCCTTGGAATAAAAGTCATCAAAGCCAAAACCTTTTCAGTCGTTACCCTTTATAATTTATTTTGCATGCCACCGTTTCAGACAGGGTAAAGTAGTTAGGAAAATTCGCAGGTGACAGCAATGGAAAAAAAGGCTCTAAGAAAATTTCAAGCTATTCTTTTCAGCTAAGTTAAAACTTGAAGACAATGCAGCTTGATTTGTAGGGTCGCTGTCGCTCTTCTTTTTCCGGTCACGATTCCATTCACACGCTGATCTCTAATAGAATTCCTGTTCCCATTCAACAATTTCTTCTACCCACATCAAAGGTGAGTTCCTAAAGACTTTGTTGGAAGCACTTGTATGGTTAAAAGCCGAAGGGTATTCCTGAAGTACACGATAATTATTTTCCTTTCCGTTCCGCGGAGACCGGTTCTTCTTACGCATTCAGATAACAGATCCTAGGAACGTACAAAGCTATCAACAAAAAAAATCCAGCTAGATATAATTATTGAATACCCGGAGTTAATCTGCGTTGACCGTCACTCGGATGCGCCACATTTTGAGCCTTTACTCATTGCTAATTACGTACTTGTACTTACTTAATCTTTATGAAGATATGCCTGGCTCTGCTTGGAGGGTAAGCATTGCTATTTCTGTGCCTACATCAAAAAATCGAATAAAAAATTGTGCCTGTTCGAGCTTACAAGAACTTGCAATCAGTCTTTGAAGCTCCTGACCATTGCAACATTCTAGCCCTTTCGGTACTTTGATTGAACCTTGTTGAAAGCAACCCAAGTGCCTGGAGGGAGAACATTCAGGAATGAGCATCGTAGTAAAAAATCAGATACTCTCCCCTGAAGATCAAGGGTAAGTTCGGACAGGAAACTTCTGAAGTAGGGTGAAAGAAGCTAGAAGGACGAGATGTTTATCCCCAAAACAAACATCATCACTTCACAACCGAGCTTTACACTTACAGTTTCATCAGAGCAATGTTCCAGCATTAGAGCCATCTAGGAAGTCCAAAAGCGTATTAGGGACACTATTTGAATCTGGGTAAGCAGGTTGACGGTGTCATAAACTGCTAAGTTCATGTCAACGACTACAAAGTTATATCTTTGGTATATTGACTTAAAAGTTCCACCTGTCATCTTAATCTGGTGACGATGAGGTTAAAAACTCTGGAAGAATTTTGACTAAGAAGAGGAGGCCCATGTGAAGGCGGCCGTGTTTATGGAAGAAGTTCATATAGGTGAAAATTAAAAAGTGGAGTTATGTCCATAATTTGAGATCGGGAGAAAGGACCCTTCGATAGACAGACTCTTGAATTGGATGCCAAATTCACCATTGCTTTACTTAGACCTTCCTTTACAGCAAGTAATATACATATAGTTGTCCAGCGTTGACTGAAGAACATCGTGGAAATTTTCATGTATGTTGGATTTCTATGGAGTCAACCATGTTGTTTGGAGAACATTCTTGTTTATCCTGTCATGAAACCATCAACAATGATAACTGTTTAGAAGTAAAGTAAATAGAAAATTCTAGGGTGCAATGGTGCTTGCCGAGGGTTATCATCGACTTCCTATGCTACTTATGCTGCCAACTAATCTGCCGGGATCATTCGACGGCAAATATGGAGCCATCGCTTATCGTATCGTCGTTAAGGTACGGTAGATCAAGATACTGTAGTTTTAATTAGTTCTTGAGTTGGTTCATAACGAGGAGACGATTGTTTGTCTACAGATTTAGCAGCAAATAACTTGAGAATAAGGTATCAGCCATTTTTAGATCTATAGCTGTTCGTAGACCTTCGTGAGTGTCTGTCTGTACCGGATTTTCAGAGCCGTTGTTTTTGTTTTTGTTGACCGCTTGTTTTTTTCCAAAGTCCAAATTTCTGTGAATTGGAGCAGTTAGTTAGCTGGCTTTTCAAGCAAGACAAGTAATATATCAAAAATTGGAATTCCTATATCTAAATCTGTCATGTGATTGCTTCTAGACCTTCTGAAAACCTTCAAAACCCAGTTCAGCTACACTTTTCGCAAGGTCAAAGGACTTTGTCGTTAGGCAATTTCACGCTGTTACGATTCTGAATTCTTTACGGGGACGCATTAAGAATTGGAGGTTAAGTCCTCAGAAGTACAGCCATTCCAACATAACGATGTCGCCATGTGAACAGCGCTGTCAAAAGGTTAAAAATGGTCATTCACCCAACTCGAGCTAATCGAGAATTTCGAATTTCGGGGCCGTAAAAAAGGTTCATGGCCTGGCATTTTAAGGAGCATTCCGAGGGACTAAGTACTCGATACTCTAGTTCAAGTCATGTGTTGAGCTTTCATTGTTTGTAAACTCATTTCAGTTATGACAAATAGATTAGGCTTTCTATATATTCCTGCGGAAGCTTTGTAGAAGTGATCCCTCCTAGTTCATCAGTATAAGGTTCACTTCTTCATGTCGTTATCCTTGCTATATTTGTTTACGCTATCAGTAGCCTGAACGAGATCAGTGGCACTTTGCGGGGTTATCCCTATCCAGCCGTTTTTGTACAAGGTAGTAGCAAAAAAGAGAAGGAAGCCAAGGCTCGAATGCATGACTTTCTCATTTGTCCTTCTTCAATGAACCTTCTAGTCAGAAAAGTCTTGCTCTGTAGCACATGAGCTGCTTCAGTGCTTCCTGGAAAATCGGCAAATGCATCGGTTAGGGTCGGCGACCTCCAGGGAGGTGGTTTAGTGGCAAGTGGCGCGCTATCACTCGAATGGTCACGGGTTCGCATCCCGGATCGATATCCGCCTAGGGCAACGAGGCCTTCCATCCTTTCTGGGTATCCTAATTGGTGCCAGAGTTGTCTGGGAGGATAAAAGCAATGACTTGTACATCGGCTGACCACCACATGTCATTGCCACTGACCCATTCCTTACGCTCCTACATTCTGAATGGAATTCGAATGGGGGAGCATCCAGCAGAAAGGATGAAACAGAATAAGACGATCAAGGAGAATTTCATCGCATAAAGGTAGAGTACGTGTATAGGTATTGTATACTTGAACTGACTAATCCGAAACATGGAAGAAGCCAAGCATTGTCCGCAAATTCTTCCTGATCCCTACGTCGAACCCCCTTAGAGAAAACTCGATCCTAGGTCTGCCGAACTAACCGAGCAACCATAGAACTTCTACCCATTTGGGTTGAAAAAACTGATTAGACACCACGGTCCTACGTCAGGTTGTCGAGGGAACCAGATTCACAATCAATTTCCTCTACCACTACATAGAAGGATTCCGATTGCCTAGCATTAGACTAAACGACGTCGAACAATTGCTGTTTTCGTATAAATGTGTTCTAGTAAGCAGGTCTCCATTCGAGTACCGTCTACCTTCCACAACGGTATGACGAAGCATTACCCAGATCTCTGACTGTAAGATAGAGCTTTCATGCTATGCCATAGACGCACCATAGTATTTATCATAATTCATTGGCTTAATATGTCTATTTATCATATTTACTGTAGATGTCTATAATTTATCTATATATTAAGTTGTTTGCTTTGCTTAACTTTCGGTCCTGTCTGAGTCTACTATTCTCCTAAGATTTTGGAGGCTATTTTTGTCGAAAAAAGAATCAAATGTCGATGAGGTCTCCTGCCATATGTGTTCCTCGAATCCGTATCTTTTTTTTCTTTTCAAAATCGAAACCAGTGTCAAAGTTGCCTCTGCTCTACTAGTAGCTCCACTATGTCCGTGGGAGCTGTATAATGGTCCTGGTATTCTATATATGGGAACCCGGAAAATACCCATTTTGGCCAGTAAGTGCACTATTGAGGCGATCCAAAATGACAAACATCATAAACCATCCTTTGAGATAAGTTTTTGGTTGAACTCGTGGCAAACTGCTCTTGACCCAAAAACGTGAGGAGGTCCGCCAAAGTTATGACAAGGCAGGCATATTGAGGTTGGCCTGAGTCATTCGTTACAAGGTAGAATCACCATCTGTCCGGTTATAAATTTT